ATTGTACATGGATTTTAAGTAACTCTTTTTTAAAGTACATGTAATCTCTAACATGGAGATCATGAATATGAAAAAATAAATAAATTTTAAAAACTAAAAATAATAATTCTAAAAAGAAAACATTTGGAGTGTTAGTTTCTATTGTTTTTCGATAGAACACCTACTTGCATCCATCTTTAAGATGGATGCTTTACACATTCTTTCCTTTGATAAATAGAAGAGTTCAACCTAAGTTTTGGTCCAATTCAAAAACTTACTTTTTTTCACGGTGATTGGTTCCTTAACCCTAGTTTTGGGTTCTTCATCAAATGAAAGACTTGTTAAAAATAAACTACAAAAAAATTGCATTTGCAATACTTTTAATTTGGATCTACTATTTGAGTAATATACTATGAGACCTTCCCACAGCCATGTGAGTAGGACCCTAAAGGATCACAATTAAATTTTGACGTAGATCTCTAGAAACCCATTCACCCAAGTTCGACACCCATGTCATAACTTTTCTAGAGATCTGTGTCAAAATTTAATGGTAATCCTTTGGGGTCCTACTGGGTGTGAGAGGGTCTCATAGTGTCATTTCTCTTACTATTCATACAAATTTTTAAAGAGCTCGGATTTTGATATCAGACATTTAAGGACAATTTGGCAAATACTGGAGGCATTGTGATTAAGAGGGTCGATGCCTTAACATAATGTCCCATCCTCCATTCCCCGTTAATACGTATAAAAAGAAAAGGAAAGAAAAAAAAAAAATGGAAGATAAACCTCGAAATTTCAAATTTTCCAAAGTTAATAACATGAATTTTTGTCATTTTCCATGTTGTAAATACATTTGTGATGTTTAATATTTTTATTTTTATTATTTTTTTCAAATTTCCATAATGTTTCCAAGATTTTTAAGACTTTCTTCGTGCCTATTGACGAGTCATGACAATTACCCAAGGGTGTGGTCTCTACAAGGTTGCAACCTTAAACAATCCCATTAATGCGCACCTCCAAATTTTATTATAAAATATAATTTTGGTGTAAAACATACTTAGGATTATCTGAAAATCTATTTTCATATCTAATTATAAAATTTTAAACTCCAAAAATAGTTAAAATCAAGTAGATCTATAAACATATGAAAGTCTTGTAAATGGACGATCTAGATTATATATTGCAAGAAGCACTATTTTTTAAACTAAAAACCTTTATGTTTTTTCATATCCATACATTTCGATGTTAAGATGATGGTTTTTCAATATTAAAACAACTTTTTCTGATGGATTTTTGAGGTGCATCTTTAATTCTACATTTTAAGGTTGCCCAAATCCTTAATCTTTAAGGGCTTCATGAAAAGTAGAAAAGTAAATTAATGTTCAAAAAGAAAAAAAAAAGGTAAGGTAAACCTTAAGAGAAAATTGAACATGAGGAAACAACCTCGTAAGCTATGCTCAAAATATTTCCTGACAGCCGAAACTACCGATGGAAATTTAAAACAAAGAGAATTCAATTTCATTCAAGGCCAAAATGAACAATAAATTCCTCAAATTATACTTAACTAAGCAAACTCTTACTTTGGGGTTGGAACGATGAAAATGTCATTAGAAAAACCTTTTCTCTGTCTCTCTCTTTGTGGCCCTTACTCCTGCTTACAAACTCACGCAACTTTCATTACATTTTATCGTAAAAGCAGCAAATAGAAGAAGTGGAGAAGAGCCAAGGGACTTCAGGCATCAATTTTTAATAAAAAAAAATGTGAACACAGAAGCCTCACTTCCTAAACCAACAATAGAGAAATAGCAAAAAGGGAAATTTATGTATCAACAGTGTTTTTTTTACCGTTATAACGAAATGATCCGAAAAAATTGTTATTACCTGAAAAGACGGATTTTCAAACTTTCTCAATTTTTTCTAATTTTGATAGTTTGGTAACATACATTTTAAACAAAGTAGTCGGGATGTTCATAAGTATCGGACCGCATTCCGTCTCATCCATGTCCATCAACCATTCCTTCACTTTCTCCTATCACCACTAAACAGTAAAATGTACAGAGACCCAAGCGATCGTCCCTCTCTCTCCCTACCGAATGCAACTTCGGTGCGTGCCCAGATGGAAGCAACTCCCTCTATCTCTGTCAGTGTTCCCAATAATGGAGAAAACCTCTCTCTCTCAGAAAGGAGATGGTGGGTGGTCGAGAGTTGAATAAAAGGTCTCTTCTCTTTTTGATATCACAAAAAGAAAAAGAAAAACAAAGAACATCCAGCCTTGTTTCCTATGTAATCAGAAGATTAGGAACGCACAAGGACAAAAGATGGAGATGGATGAGGATGCACTTGGCCAGGTTGAGTTCTGGCAACTCACCTTGGCTTTTGCTGACAGTCTCACACTCAAAGTGTGCGGTTGAGCTCAGCATACCCCAGATAATCCATGCCAAAGGTCAACCCCACACCCTCTCAGAGATTATCACCTCACTGCAAGCTCCCTCCCCCGACTCGTGATGTCTCTCACGAGTCATGTTCTTGGTGAAGAAGCGCGTGTTTAGTGAAGAGGTGAAGGGTGAGGCCTACTATGGCCTCACTCGCACCTCTAAATGGTTGGTGAGGCCGGGGACATCGGGCTTTGCTCCCATGCTTACGATGCTGAACCACCCTATATTCCTTGCACCATGGCACTGCTTAAGCCCATGGTAGCAAGATATTTAAGTATGTGCTAAATAATCCTGGTACCAATGAGATATTCAATGAGGCCATGGCTAGCAACGCTCGGGTGGTTCTTGAAGCCTTGCTCTCTTAATATAAATCAGGGTTTGCAGGCTTGACATCATTGGTTGACGTAGGTGGTGGCACTGGGACCGTGGTGAGTGCGATAGTGAAGGTGCACCCGCATAACTCAGGCATCAATTTTGACCTCCCGCATGCTGTGTCGAGTGCACCAGAGCATCCGAGTGTGGTTAATGTCCGCGGTGACATGTTCATCTCTATCCCTCATGCTGATGCAGTTTTGATAAAGATATTGACACATTGCATACTTTTTCCCAGTTTCAGAAAATCGACTCTGCCACGGTACTCTAACTTTTACCGAGGCGAGTTATTCAGTCGAGTCCAAATAATTCGGTCGGATTCATGTCATATTAAAAAAAAGACAAATAAGACCGGGCTTATTTTTTATTTTTTAATAAAATAAGAACGTCTATGTTTTATAAAAGAAAATAGAATCATGGCAGGATTAGAATCTTAGACATGAGACTGCCGAGGTGTGAATAATAGGCAAAACAGAAAACAAAAAAATCCTCTCGACAACGTATTATTATTATAAAACGGGATATATAAAATAAATAATAAAATCGGTAGGCCAAGGCCGATTAACTCATCTTTCACTATCTCGTCCCTCTGATTGATTGCCAATGAATCTTGGATATAATGCTCCCTCCATTCCATTCTCCTCTCTCCCCCATTATGCGCTTGAGTATATTGTTCATTTCAAATTGGTGCAGTCGATATTGCACGATTGGGACGACGACGATTGTGTGAAAATCCTCGAGCAGTGCAAGAAAGCAATCCCAAGGAACAGTGGGAAGTTGATCATCGTCGACGCGGTCTTGCATCCTGACGATGGTACAAGTGCTTTTGCAGACTCAAAGCTGGCATTTGACCTCTTGATGCTTGCATTAGCACCAGGAGGCAAAGAAAGGACTGAAAAAGAGTGGAGAGCTCTATTGAGCCAAGGAGGTTTCAGCAAATGCAATATCATATCGCTTCCAACACTACAGGCCATTATTGAATCTTTTATATTACTGTGCGGCCTTCATGTAACCATGATTCTGATTCTGATTCTGGCTTGTTTCTTCTTTCCATTTGTTTTTTTTTCTTGTTAAACTATGGTAGAAATAGAAGTGTGTTATGTAAAATAATTTCACCACTTGCTTGATTTGGGAAACAGTTAGCAATTTTGTTTTTGTGATGTAAAATTCTCAACTTTGTTTTGGTGACGTAAGTTTTCTTTTGGGGAGTTATATGATAAGACAATTGTCTACCCTATTTAGACGGGAACCAATGTTCTAGAACTCGGCTCAGGCAGCCCATTCGGCCCTGGCCTAGCGGAGCTACAATGGCGAGTCACTAGGCCTCACCTAAGTTGAGCTCGAGTCCACTATGGGCTCCGGAAAATAAGAACATTTTGGGGAAACTACCAAACAAATCAGAAAATCAGTGATTAACTTATATTATGAAGGAGAATTGACACTAAAAATAGAAAAATTGTGCCCCATTAGATCGACGACTGTGAAATTTCCGGTCTATTAAGAAACCAAAAACGAGATCAATAAATGTCCTTTTTGTTTTGATTTTTTTTGGAGGAACAAGTCAAGATTACAAAGATGGTGCTATACTTCGAATTTCATCAAAGATAGGCAACTGGAATAAGAAAAATCAATGTTTTCCAAAATTGGCAAAAAAATAGCCAATTTTTTGATATTTGAAATGCTGGAAATCAAAGTGTCTTTTGTTCTATTTAACACTTATATTTGGTAGATTTAGGAACAATGAACCTAGATCCCTATTTTAGAATCAAATGGCATCGATTTGGGCTGTGAGGGATATTTTTTAGCAAAAATGGAAGCACATATATATTTCAGGAACTGAATAGCATTCGGAGAAATACTGTCTCGCTTGGCCATAAGCCGATGCCAAGTAACACAACCAAGTCCAAGTCAACTCGGCCTAGTTTGTAAACATTGGTTCAAACCTTTTCCAATATAGAGACCAGTAGACAATCATTGTAATTTAATCTGGAACTTAAAACTTCCACACTATACCCAAGAGACTATGGGGGCATTTGATTACGGAGGAAATAGGGGAGAGTCTCAAACTTTCTCCTGTACTGTAGTTTTCACTCGTTTAAGAACAATAATATATAATTTAATAATATTATAATATGTTATATATATATTATTGGGATCGATTGGTGAAAAATCAGCAAAGGTTTAAAACATTCATAGTTATTGTGCATTCATATTAATATAAACAAGTCATGAAAACTACATAATATCAAAGCAAGAACGTGGAATAAAAAATCTAGCAATGTGCATCCACATAGCACAACAATTTAACATGGTTCGGTCACAAATCGTGACCCACAACTACAGGATAAAGGTGCGAGATTTTACTTACTGATTTGGGAAGATTACAAGGTGAAATCAAGCTCAAAAGATCCATATCCAATAACCCTGTTTCACTCTAAACAGGACCCAAAAACAAGGCACCAAGAACACTAAAAAATGGGTTCTCTTTGATACTTTCTCTCACTAAAACAGGGCACACAACAAACCCACAATGGATTTGAAGCATTTTTCTAACTTTCTCTCTCTAAACCAGAGTATAGTAAGCCCTCAAGAGAAAATCCAATTGCTGCTCAATCTCTCTCTTTTTTTATCACTGTTTCTCTATCTAAAAAAAAAGGTTTTAATCCCTTTAAAAGAGTAAAGTTCCTACAACACCACAACCATTGGATTAGATACAATCCAATGGCCCAAAATAAGAGAGAGAAAAGTTAAATAAAACTCCCACATGTGTGATTTGTTTTCACACATGTAACAGCTTCCACTTGAAGATAAATTACAAAGTATCTGAAATAATTACCAATGCACCACTCTCCATCTACCCGCGGTTATACATCATATTCTTTTCAGTTGAGACAATCTTTATCAATATATCGGCAATGTTTTTCTCAATGTGAATCTTGTCCACCTGCAATTCACTACGCTTGAGGGTCAACCGAATAAAATGATATTTAACCTCTATATGCTTTGTCTTGGAGTGATAAGCGGCATTCTTAGTCAGATGAATAGCACTTTGATTGTCACAATTCACAAAATATTTATCATATTTCACTCCAAACTTGCCAAGTAACCTTCTCAACCAAATCATTTCCTTTGTTGCCTCAATTAATGCCACATTCTCAACTTCAGTTGATGACAAAGCAACAATATCCTGTAACCTTGACATCCAACTGACTGCACGGCCACCAACATTGAAAATGTATCCAGTGGTAGACCTTCTAGTATCACGATATCCTGCATAATCTGCATCTACATAACCAACAACTTCCAATGATGAATTTCCAAAACACAAGCATGCATTTCGCGTCCCCTTCAAATATCGAAGGATCCACTTAACTACCTATCAATGTTCCCAATCTGGATTAGACGTAAATCTAGAAACAACTCCGACTGCATGGAAAATATCAAGTCTAGTACAAACCATTTTATACATCAAACTACCCACTGTAGAAGTATATGAAACATTCTTCATCTTACTTTTACCTACCTCATTCATTGGAGAGTCCTTTTTAGACAAGTTAAAATGTGCATCTAATGGTGTAGAAATAGGCTTACAGTCAATCATATTAAAGCACTCAAGGACATTAGAAATATAATCATATTGACTTAACAAAAGCTTATCTTGCTTTTTATCTCTATAGATGTGCATACCCAAAATCTTTTGGCTGGTCCAAAATCCTTAGTGGCAAAATACTTGGACATATCAAGATTTAAATGTTTGATTTCACTCAAATCATTGCTAGTAACAAGCATATCGTCAACATAGAGCAACAAAACAGTAAAAGAATCATATGTTGAACCCTTGAAGTATACACAATGATCAAAATCGCATCTAGAATAACCTTCACCTATCATAAAACTGTCAAATTTACTATATCATTGCCTAGATGCTTGTTTCAAACCATGCAATCCCTTTTTCAACTTGCAAACCAAGTTAGGATTGGTTTTGTTCTCAAAACTTTCAGGTTGATCCATATAAATTTCTTCATCAAGATCACCATGCAAGAAGGCAGTTTTAATATCTCTAAATTCAAGTTAGCAACCAAAGATAAAACAACTCTAGTAAAGTTATACTTTGCAATAGGAACAAATATTTCATTAAAATCAACACCTGGTTTTTTTTCCATAACCTTTCATCACAAGTCTGACCTTATATCGCATAGACCATTTTCCTTCCACTTAATAGTATATACCAACCTATTCTTTAATGCTTTCTTCCCATGTGAAAGTTCCAACAACTCTCATGTATCATTTTTATGCAAAGCATCAAAATCTCCTCCTCCATTGCCTTATGCCACCTTTCAACATTAGGGCAATAAATAGCCTCCTGAAAAGACTCAGGTTCACCACTATCAATATACAAAGCATAATATAAGAAAGGGGAATACCTTTGTGTCGGCTTGTGAGGATGACTTCTCAATTTTAGCTCTAATTATTCTTCATCTTGAATTAATTCAATGTCATCCTCATAACTGGCATCACCTTCATCAAAATTGTCTTGAGCTTGTGCTTGACTCTCTTGCACTTGCTGAGGTGAAACAAAGGGATTTGGTTATTGTAACGACAAGTCTTTCTTGTTTTGGCTCTTCCTTTTTCTTTTAAACAAAGATTATATTCTCGTTAAAGGGAACACCCCGACTTCTGTTAGTCTTCTTCGCAATAGGATCCCAAATCCTATAACCTCTATCATCACCACCATACACAAGAAAAGCACATCATTTTGACTTGGCATCCAGCTTGGCTCTACTTTTACTGAACACTTGAACATAAGCTTTACACTCAAATGTTCTCAAGTGTTCATATGACACACTTTTACCTCTCCATAGAATTTGAGGTATTTTACCATTCAATGGTGCACTGGGGGATCTATTGATTGAATATACAGTTGTACTAGCAGTTTCAGCCCAAAATTACTTATCAAGGCCAAATTGTGATAGCATGCTTCTTATTCTTTCAATGATGGTCATATTCATCCCTTCAATGACACCATTTTGTTAAGGTGTCCCAAGAACAGTCCTTACTCTACGAATATCATTCTCTTTACAAAATGTATCAAAAGCATTCGAGTAATATTCACCACCATTATCAGTTTGCAAGCATTTTATAAATATCTCTGTTTCTTTTTCAACCTTGGCATTGAAAACCTTGAAAACTTCAAAAATTTGATCCTTAAATACCAAAGGATACAACCAACACTTTTTAGAATAATCATCTAAAAAACTGACAAAAAAAGAAGCTCCACCAAGAGACCATAAGCATCAAAATAAATCAATTCTAATGTTTTACTTTTTCTATGAGATTCATTTTTTTTAAACTAACTTTATACTACTTACCCATGGCACAATGATCACAAAAATCAAGAAATGAATACTTAGAAATAGGAATAAGATTTTGAGTTTGCAAGACCTTCATACCATGCTCACTAGGATGAACCAAATGGCTATGCCAAATCTGCATATCATCATGATGCAACAATGATATTTTATGTAGCATCATTCCTTTGAGATGTGTCATGAAGAGTGTAGAGACTCTCATCTTTTTGCCATTTTAACATTGTCGTATAACCTCTTGAAATCTGCCATAACCCATTTCTAAAAGTCACTATGAAACCAAAGTCATCTAACTACCCGATTGAAATGACATTTTTTTTCAACTCAAGAACATGCCTCACATTTCTCTATGTATACTTCTTTCCATATGTTTACTTCATAACAACATTTTTAATGCCCAATATTTTGCAGGCTCGATTATCACCAAGATAAACCAAGCCACCATCTACACCTGTGTAGGATGAAAAATATGATCTTTCTGAGCAAACATGAAATAAACACCAGAGTAAAAAACCCAAGTATCTGCAATAGACAATATTGTGCATGCAACACTAAAAGTGATCCCATCTTCACCATCTGAAATTGTACTTGCTTCAGCATGATTATCTTTGCCCTTGTCCTTTTGCTTATTCTTCAAAGCATAACAACATTTCTTTGTGTGACTAGGTTTCTTGCAATACCAGCAAGTAACCTTCTTGCCTGTGACTTGGACATGTCTCTGCTATGAGATTTACCCTTATTAAATCCATAGGGTTGGTCTCTATATTGTGTTTTTCCTATATCTCCTGCTGTCA